TTTTTTTTTTTTTTTTTTTTTTTTTCTTCTACCAGGACTGAACTCGAGAGTGCTGGACTCAGGATTTGTTTTCAAGTATTTTGATAGCTGTTGGAATGACTAGAATCAGTGTCAGTTACCTCTCAAAGGCTTCTAGATAGAAAGAGAAAACAAATTTAGCCCTCATTTCATAATAATAACTGGTTGTCTCCCTTAGCTACAGGAGGACACTACAGTATTGGAGAGCAAGATTTGAAGACTTACATCTGAGCAGCACTTTCTGGTTAGGACCTTCATCACCTGCCCAGCTTTCTCATTTCTCTGTCAATTCTGGAAATATCCAGCCATCATAATTTTCATATGTAAACCCTTCTTTAGAAATATCTCCATTCTCATATCCTTCCAACATCCTCAAATTTTCCATTTGCCTTTTTTAATAATCATGAGGCACAATAACATTAGCAAACACATTTTTCATCTGTTGTGAGACTTCTTTTCCTGGGGATACTAAGCAACGCTTTTCCCCCATTTTAGGTTGTAGTATCAAACCAATGTTTGATTACATTAAAGTTTTTCTGGGGAACCAGTGAATTTACTGAGCTTACTCACAGAGATGACTGAGGAGTTGCTGAGGTATATGAGTGACCTGAGAGTATTTACATTGGAAAGCCTTAACCCAGCACGGATCAAGCCTTCTCTTCCTAACCTTTTTCAGATAATATACTTTAGTCTTCCCCAAATCCAGGAGACCATATGATTAGGGTCAAATTACATACAGCTGGCTGGGAAGAGCAGCTGGATACTCAGGTGAGGGTCCGATGACCCTGTTTACCCCTCTTCCTTCAATTAAAGAATAAGATAGTCAAGTCAACAAGTTCAATTGTGACGATTTTTTGTTAGTGGACACAGCTGAAGTCATGAAGATGGTAATTGTTTGACTCAGAAGAAAGTAGTGTGTAGCATCATCTTATTAAAAGAACATGGAATCTAAATTATATACATAAGATAATGTAATAAGTTAATATTACCCGTGTACATATTGTGTTTTATAAGCTTTTAGGTAAATATTTAGCCTTATGTAGTTTAGTGAGGCCTATCAAAACCTTGCTTTAGGTGGAAAAAAGCAATTGGTACATAGTTAAACATTGTCAAATTGACATTTACAACCTCCAGCATAATCAATTAGGGAAAACTGTGCTATAACCCTGTTTAGACTTTATAACTGTTGGAGTGGGAGACATGGGAGGGGTGTCCTGTCCATGAGGGGATGGAGGGGCAGGGGTGTCAAGAGGCAGGGGTCTGGAATCAAAGTAGAAGTTAGATACAGGAGGGATAAATGGGTTATTTGAGCTAGAAGCCAGAATAGGGGAGACTAGGGAATATTTGACAAGGAGGTGTTTAAGGTTTTGGATTTCCTCAAATAGAGAAGAGTTAGTGGAAGGAGAGTGGGTGATAGACTTAGAGCAGTGCTGGGGAGAGGGAAGATTGTGGTATGGAGAGGGAGTTCGAGTTGGAGAAAGGAGAGATGGGTTGGGCTCTGGAATGGGAGGC